GGGGGGGCTTAGGGACCCACTCCTGTCTTTCCCAGAGGCAGGAGAGTTGGACTGCATCCCCCAGAGGAATCAAGCTGCACACTTCTGATCTCTCTATTCCCCCTTACTAAAAACCCATTCTGATTCATAGCAACCCTCCATAGGATTTCTGAGACTATAAATCTTGATGGGAGCAGACACTTCAACTTTCTCTCAAAGAGTGGCTGGTGGTGGGTTTGAACGACTGGCCTTGCCGTTCACAGCCCAGTGCCTAACCCACAGCACCACGAGGGCTCCTTTCTCTTCCCTGAAGAAAAACAAAAGAAAAACCAAACCCAGTGCAATCCAGTCCACTCCGACTCGCAGTGACCAGAGGAGGGGTTTCCGAAGTTGTCAATCATGATGGGAACAGACAGCCTCAACTTTCTCCCCAAGAGTGGCAGGTGGAGTTGAACTGTCCACTTTAGCAGTTAGCAGACCGATGCTTACACCAAAGCACCTCTTCTTTCTCACAGAAATCACTGCCATCAAGTCAATGCTGATTTATAGTGAATCCCCAGAGGGTTTCTAAGACCATGACTGTTACGGTTATAGAAAACCAAGTCTTTCTACCTGGAGCTACTGATGGTTTCGAACTGCCGACCATGTACATCACAGCCCAATGCATAACCACTACACCACCAGGGCGCCTTCTTCAAAGAAGGAAAGACCATTTAGTTCATCACCTAAATTGGACTCCAGGTTTGCATTCATTCTCTGATTTTCAGACCAATCTGCCTGCTGGCTGTAGGCAGCCTCCTCATCAATACGTGCGTGGTACCTTCGGGAGGGGAGGGCGATGGGAATGAGGAGGTGGAGTCCAGAATTCCAGCTGCTCAGCCTTGAGGAGGTGAGGGTGAGGGGCAGAACGCCCACTTTGGTTTCAGGTCCATGTTGCTTTATCAAATCTAGGTTAACCAAATGAAAACTACCATTTTGAGCTCTGCCCTTAGGAATTTTTTTCCCTTGTCAGTTGGTTATTAACTTGAAGGGGAAAATCTTGAGCTACCAATTTGCCTACAAACCATTAAGAAACACATAAGGGCTTTCATAAAGGGCCTGTAAGCTGCTGAAAGGGAACTGCAGATGTTATACATTGCAGCAGGAGTAGCATTTACACACACCATTCTTATAATAAAAAGTGAAAGAGAATAAAAATACAAAGAGGCTCAGACTTTTTTCTTTTCTTTCCTTTCTTTCTCTTTTAAGTAAAAATGGTTGGCAGCTAGGAGATGGGGGAAATATAACATATAAAACAAACTAGAATTTAGCTACTTTTGGCTACTAGCTTTTGCCTTACATCCAAGTAATCTCCACTCCTTTCCCACTAATTCCGTTATGATAAATTCTCATTTCTGCTCAAGTATAGACCTAATTCATTTTAAGAGTTAGCCCCAGTGTTTCCTTATGTGACAGGCAGCCTTTCATTTAAGATGGCCCCAGGTGTCCTCGCCTCCAGGTATGCATGCCCCGGTGTAACCCCCCACCCACCCCCCTTGAGTGTGGGTTGCTTATAGCAAATAGAATATTTGAAAAGGCAGATGCTGTTTCTGAGATCAACTCATAAAAGACTGTGACTTCTCTCTTGCTCACTTTTCTCTCTCCTCGCTGTCACTGACGCGGCCAGGTGCCTTCCGGTGAGCTGTCCTATGGAGAGGGCCACATGGCAAAGGAACTGAAGGTGGCCTCCAGCCAGCAGTCAGCAGTGAACTCAGCCTAATAGCCCATGAAGAACTGAATCCTGCCAAGAACCAAGTGTGTGGCCTTGGAAGGCGGCAGCCTCTCCCAGCTGTGCCATGACGTACCTGCAGCCCCCATTGACACCTTGGCTGTCACCTGTGCGAGGCCCTGACCCAGAGGACTCAGCTTACCACATGCGAATTCCTGACCCACAGAAACCGTGAGATAAGAAATGCTATTATTACCTTAAGTTACTATATTCTGGTAATGAGCGTATCTATCCTATTGTGGGTCTTTTAGTCTATGATCTAACACTTGGAATAAGTCATTATTGGTACATTTGAATGTGCTATAGGAAAATTCTCTCTTTTGCTGCCATCGAGTTGATGCTGACTCATACTGATCCTATAGGACAGGGTAGAACTGCCTCTGTGGGTTTCCAAGGCTGTAACTCTTTAAGGGAATAGAAAACTCCATCTTTCTCCCACTGAACAGCTGGTGGTTTTGAACTGTTGACCTTCAGATCGTGTGCAATACGTAACCACTCGCCACCAGGACTCCTTATAGGAAAAACACTATATACTCAATACTATTGGCTATACCTTACCCAACCAATTGTCAAATATCTGTTGACTGTCTACCAAATACAAAGCCGCCAGACTGGGCACTAACACTTCTAGAATTTTCTTTGTTTCATAAAGAATCTCTATAACGAAGCTTCTTTTTCTTCTCATTTCTCCCTCTTCAGCCTCTGTTTCAGTTGTTTAACGTGTCAGGAAGCAGTAGTTAATCCCTACGTGCCAGTTCACCTGTAAACTGGAACACTGCAAAGTGCCATCGGAATGCAGGGAAGATGGCTTTGCTCTCAAGGTAATGAAGGGCTTTCATGGGCCCTTGGCTCCCCGGGTACCAGCCATCGCTCCCCTACCTGCTTTGACTGATAAAATCACGGAGCGCAGTCTTCACCTTCTCCTCCGGCGCCTCCTCTGAAATCTTGATCAGCTCTCGTACTTCTTCTATGCTTTCTTCCTGAAAACAAAGTGCAGCCGAGGAGAGGGGAGGGGTGCAGGTCACAGCTGTGGTAGGGAGGCAGCTGATGACAACACCTCACACAAAGCATTTGGTGACTCTTCTGCTTCTGAGATGGAGGTAGAGCTCACCTGTCTGCTGGTGCCTGACCTAGAACTGCTGTGACAATCCCAGCATACACAGAACCCAACGTGGAGCCTCCTTTTCGTCCCTGAAACTGGCCCACATGCAGGGCTTTTCCTGCACTGCCCAACTGCTCTGCTTCTGGCCAAGATCCCCATTCCCAGGGAGAACCATTCATTTAGTCTCTCTGACGGGAAGCTGAATGCCAGAGCGAATATCCAGTCGAATCAATGAACTTTATTTACCCAAACCTGAAAAGCAATAGTAAATCCATTTCCTAGATGGAAGTGTAACCAGATTGCGTAATCCTGAAAACTGAAAGGGCTATCAATCTCCTGCTTGTGTGGGTTGTTAGCTGATGGGTCGGAGCCAGGTGTCTATGGCACAGGCTCTATGGTTGTATCCCTAATAACGGGACTTTTCCTTCGGGGCCTAAATTCTACGACTCCATTCAGTGGTTTAAAGGGAAATATACATATAAAGAATTTACATCTACTTTCTCTACTACCTCCCAAAGCCTGGTGGGTGGGGTCATAAGGGCTCCTCTTCTCCACCCCCCATCCCCCCATATGAACAGGAAGGATTGTGGAGTGGTAAGGGGTTTGAGTGTCAGGGCCAAATTGCCCATCTTCCTGAAACTTCAAGTGCCCTCGCTCCTTTCCACACAGTTTCTTCATCTCTACAGTGGGATCGTGATAATGTCTACCTCCAGCAGGGTTGCGATCTCCCTCAAACAGTGCTTAAACGCATTGTCAGGGAATCAATTCCAATTCATAGCAAATCCAGAGGCCAGAGTAGAGTTGTCTATAGGGTTTCCAAGGCTGTCATCTCATGCCCACCCCCTGGCCGGCAATCATTTTATTCGGACATGATCCAGACATTACACCATTCAATAGTTCAGTCATATCAAGCGGCGTTGTACAATCTCTACCACAATCAGTTTCAAAACATTTTCTTCCTTCTTGATATCAGCCCCCCATTACCCGCCCACTCCACCTCCTCTCCAGTATCTCCCCCGCCCCCCAGGAACTCTTATTCTTTCTATAGATCCACCCACCCTGGGTTTAATATACTGAAAAATAGAAAAATACAAAACAGAGAGTCAAGAAGGCTACCAACAATAACAAAATACAACAGAGATAAACCCTAATTTGAAAAAAAACAAAAACAGAAGATACTACAACCCAGATCAAGCTCAAAGTGTATCACAAGGAGATCAAATGAGAAGGTTTTAGCCATTCAAGTCAGATTTATCATTTTGATCTATTATCATCGTCTCTGCAATACTGTCTGTCTGATAATCAAGTTATTCCCATCCCCCCATTATGACCAGAGGGAAATCACCAGAGGCTTATTCCATGTGTAGATTCCACAACTATATGTCGTTCTTAAGAAAGCAGCCTGCCACATCTTTTTTTCCGGAGGAGTGGCTGGTGGGTTTGAAGTTTTTATCGGCTAGCAGTTGACTGCTTAACTATCATGGCACTAGGGCTCCTTGAATAGTGTTTGGATGCTTAGTGTTCACCGATGTTCACCACGAGGAAGTAGTGATACAGCGATGTTCACCACGAGGCAGTACTGATACACCAGCATGATTGAGACAGGAATCGGAAATGAGCTCTAGAAGTTACTATGGGCTCTAGGAGAAATTCTGGTTTGTTTTGTCAAGCCTCTAGGACATAAACTATTCTGTGTCTGTCTGGGTGAGAAGCAAGGCCAACCTTACAAAGACAGTTGACAGTCTCCACATAGTGTGACCACCAACCAGCTCCTTTCAGATTCTGTCGCCATGATGGCTACCACCCCCAAGGCCGGAACCAATGCTGGACCCTTCCCAACGGGAGGCGAGGCTGATCAGCAAACGGGAGGAAGACCTGTGTCCTCCCCTTAGAGGCTGTGCTAACGGAAAGAGCTGGAGAAGCCTGCGTGAGGCCTGCTGGTGCCAGGAGCAGATGAACGCAATGCAGGAGTAAGACAGGCAGAAGGAGACAGGGAATGCTAGACTCGGATGAATGGATTTACAGAGAGAAGGTGAAAATGCCCAAGAAACTGAGTTCTTGGGTACAAGGTAGCCTTGATTGTGTTTCTGACACAATTGTGATTCCACGTGTATTTTAAATATTCCACAAATAAATATTCAGTCCCTACCACCTGCCAGGTGCTATATAAACAATAGGAAATGGATGTTGAACAAATAAACACACAAATACATGAAGAAGTATGGAAAGAGTTCTGAAGGTCAAAAAACAGGGGCTGATGGGAGAGGAGAAGATGTCAGAATGCTTCTTGGAGGAAATGCATTAAGGTTGAGGCTCAAAGGTTGGCTGGGTTTTCCAGGAGAAGAATGGCAGGGGTGGGGAGTGAGGTATAGAAGAACTTGGGTGCTCTGAAAAACTGGCAGGAGCCAGTGTCGCTGGAATAAAGTCAACAAAAAGGAGTGGGTAAGAGATGAACTGGAGGCAGCTCCATTGTGGTCCGTCAGCCATGTCAGGAATTGAGAATTTTATTTGAAGTGAATCCAGGCTCTACCACTAGATTTCATGAGGTGACCAGCTCCCCTCCCTTTGGAGGTGAGGGCGCTGGGCTGTCCTCACCTCCTCTAAGAGTATGAATCAGTACAGAGATGAGATGTCCGGTCACCTGATTTAAAGTCCACCTTGTAGCTAGGTATTCCAAACACAGTCACCTCAATTCATTTCCACTTAAATTGAGGTCAGAACCGTTCACCAAGTGGACAAAAAGCCTCTGTTGTCAACGACCTTGCAATCTGCAAACTGACTGGCTGTCCAAGTCACATACCAGTAGGTCCGCCATTTTCTCTAGCATATTGGACCAGTGCAGCCTGAAAGTCTGGTCTCCCCAGGAGCTGATGAAGTAGACACAGGGCTTCTTGGCATCAAATGGTAAATAGTTGTAATTCCTGAAAAACATAGTAAGTGTAGAAGTGGTTTTGAGTCAATCTATGGACATGTTTAAGTAGGTTTTGTGTTTTAAATTGTGATTTGGTTGAATATTTATAGCATAAATTGGTTTTCCACTCAACAATTCAGACACATTTTGTTATGTGAACTTGATTGCAATACACACACACACACACACACACACACACACACACACAAGCACTCTTCTCTTTCCATCCCTGTGGTTATCACGTCCCTTCATCCTTCTTTCCTGTACCTTCCTGCCTTCTCAACTTAATCCCTGGGTGAATGATACTCTTTTGACTTCATATGGTTGCTTATTCTAAGGAGTACATACCTCCCTGATATCGTGGTTCACATGCGCAAGTATGGCAGGTTGTGGGCATGTTGGGTGGCAGTGGTAGTGACAGAACCATTCAACTTAGCTGCATTGTCCAACTCTAACTTGGGACTCCCAACAAAAGATAATCAGGAGTCAATGCACCCCAGGGAGACAAATAACATAAGTATGGGTGAAGGGAGACTGGACTGGGGAAGACATGGAAAAACAA